TGTGAAGGTAAAGGTGGGACAAATGAGACAGGTGTAGACATTGTAGGAGGTCCCCCGAAGAAGCAGGTAGAAAGGGCGCCCTGTTGAATTGGCCATTCCCGCGGCCAGCCTGTGTGTGCTCTTGTTGCCCCAAGATGTGCTTGCACTCGGGCCACTGACTCATGTCCTCGCTGCCATTGTTTTCTGTGGGCTCAGAGGCCCAACTTTAGCCAGATTTCTTGGCACTGTGCCAACTTTCCTCTGCATTTCATTTCATCTCTTTCAAGTCCTTGCATGTCACTGTGATATAATTCAAAACCTTTATGGGCTAGGATCCAATGAACCCAACCCAAAGAGGAAACTGACTTTCTCATTGTTTATTTGGAACCACGAAACAGAATACATTGGACACTTGTTTTCAATGTTTCATTGAGCTGGAACTGAATTGAAACTCAACTATTTCTAGTGAGGCTTTCCGATGTGGAATGATTTAGAGGCTTCCCATGTTAGATCAAGAGGACTAATTAGAATATGAAGTGACCCCAAACTTTCCTTGCTCTGATCATTATCACTGGCTGTCTCACCCTTTGCTTAGAATTTTGTTAGTCAGAGGCTACAAAACCCTGTATGAAGCTGGGGTATTCTAAAGTACTCTGGGTCTATTCCAGCAAATACTCCACCAAGTATCTCTGTGTAAATGATCTTGGGCTAGGTCTCTGTCCTAACCTCTGTGAATCCCACAGTAGACAGTGTTATCTGTCACTACTTGGCTCTAACGAATGAGACCTGGGCACATAGGTATGGTATGGTGGGTGTATGGTGATATTATATACTCCTGGGGCTCCCTGTCCAGTAGCCATTCATCCTGCTTTGGTTGCAATATGGCAGAGCTCACCTGCTACAGTAGAGGTTGACAATGCATGGTTTCCCAGACTCCTCTGTAGCCAGCAATGGCCATGTGACGCAGTTCTGCCAAAAAGACATAAATGGAAGTATTTTGGGAGAGCTTCTGGGAAAGATTTTCCTCTCTGATAAAAAGAGAGACGTGAGAGAATGACTCTCTTACAATTCTTGTTGCCTCCTTCCTGATGTGATGTCGGTAACCAAGGCGGCTATTTTGGGACCATGAGGCAACAGCCTAAGGATGAAAGTGGAGTCTTTTGAGGATTCTGAGAATGGTGAGGAGGATGGGAACAGATTACATCCTTGATAATAATTGTTGAGCAGCTGCACCAAACCTGGAAAAGAACTTCCTACTTTCAGGAATGAAACTCCTGTTGTACAGAGCACGTTTAGACAGGTATTCTGCTACTTACTGCCCAAAGCATCCTATTTAGTATGACTGCCTGGTAATTAATAAGTTCTTGTCTTCTGTTTCTTAGGAGGAAGAAGCCACTGGTCCTTGTTGCCTGGCTACCTCTTCCTCAGCCTTATCACCACGTTACTCCATTTACTCATTTACTTGTTAGTTCACATTACAAAGTTTTTTAGTGAGGGCAGGACTTTTGACTGTTTGGTTTGCTACTGCAGTCCCAAATCCCATCTATAATAATAAAAGCATAATATGCTAATTAGACTGGACAGCAAACAACCTTCCGGACGAAGCCGCAGCAGAGGGGGCTGAGGCAGAGGCAGTTAGGGGTGATCAGGCAGGCAGGCAGAGTGGTTAGGAGCAATGAGGCAAGTAGGCAAGTAGTTAGAGGCAATCAGGCAGGCAGGCAAGTAGTTAGAGGCGATCAGGCAGGTAGGTGAGTGGTTAGTGGCGATCAGGCAGAGTGGTTAGGGGCGATCAGGCAGGCAGGCAGGCAGTCAGGTGAGCAGTTAGGAGCCAGTGGTCCCAGATTGCAAGAGGGATGTCCGACTGCTGGTTTAGGCCCCATCCCACAGGATCGGGCCTAAACCAGCAGTCAGACATCCCCCGAGGGGTCCCGGATTGAGAGAGGATGCAGGCTGGGCTAAGGGATTCCCCTCCCCCCACCCCCCCCAATGCATGAATTTTGTGCACTGGGCCTCTAGTTATGTAATAAATGGTCATGAGTATGGACAAGTACATTTCCTCCCTCCTAGAAGGCAAGTCTGCACAGAAAGTCAAATAGCTTGTGAGTACACAAGCAGACAAGGGGCAATAGTTGCAGGACTTAAATGATTGAATTTGCTAAACCATGATACCCCAGCACACCCATCCCCACACAGAGATCTCCCCTGACTCCTGCTCGTGACCCATCACCTCAGTGCTGAAGACCCCTGCCAATTCTTGCTCCCAGTGCCTAAGGTCCTGGTTAATAGGCTACCCCATCAGACTTAAGTTGCTTTAGATATGTTAATATCTACTTGGTTAATACGTAATAGGGTTAAGGTCAGACCTGGGAGCAATCTTTTCTTTTAGATGACTTTGCATATATTGGTTCTGATCTATTGTATGTATTTTATAGTTAATTTTAAGAACTGTGCAAGCAGACTCTTATAGGACTTATCTTCACTTCTTTAAAAGTTTATTAGTTATTCTATTTGTTTAGATTCCTTCAGGATCTACATTGCTAATTGTTTTAGCCAACAATGGTCTGTGGGGTGGTCAATGCCTGTTCAAGGGGGAGATTTAACTCTAAAGATTAAAGCCTTTTGGAAGGTAGTGTTAGGTAAGGGGGAAGGCTGAAAACATGCATAGGCATAAAACCGTGTTCTGTACTTAACAACTAAAAAAATATTCTTGCAAGGTTGTCTGTAATAAGCCCCTTGAAAAATCCTCATCTTCAGTGGAACTTAACCTTCCAGCTCAACATATTCTGTGCTAATCAGGTGTGAGGGAAACAAGCAAATCTGGACCTGGAACTCCCACAGGTGAGGTATTCGATGCCTGGAATCTTTAGCAGAAGAATCTCAAGACCTTTTCTCCATTTTCTACCTCAGACCAAAGGGGACATTTAATGACCAGATCACTCTCCTAAATTTATTATCTTGAAACAATAGGCAGGGGAGGTTTTGTTTTGACCAAGGGCACTGCAATGGGCCAGCACTGTGTGGCCTCCTTTTGTTTCCTGTTTGGGCTGCTTTTGAACTTGGAGTAAATTTCCATTCTTACCATGCTTTCTTTCAAGTGTGCTAACCATGGATGAAAGGAGGTGGAAGAGAAGTGGTAGAGACAAGCTGAGGCCAAAGGGCTTGTCCTAGAGAGCTGACTCCTGAGGCGTGCCATGGCCCAGCGTCAGCCCTGATGGGGTGCCCAGAGCCTGTCTGAAATGCATGGAAACTGGCTCTCAGCATTCTCATCTCTAGTGTTAGGAGCATTCCCTGAACATCTATAACTGCTCTTAGTATCCATTCTCACCCCTGTGAGAGGACAATGATAGTTGAGAAGATACCCCAGAGATGGGCCCATAAATATGAATTGAACAGGCTTTGCTCAAATACACCTCTGGTGCTCCTACCAAGTATAAGAAATGAGTAGGATTCTAGCCCCTCGAGATACAAGCAACACATACTTGCCCATGTGATTGTCAATATACACGCTAGCTACAAAAGGCATGCGACTTTTAAACAAGATTTACACGACACTGAGCTGTGATTATAATTTATTCATATTCTTACAAAGAAATTTGTTATTACAGACAATAGGAAAAAATACAAGTGCTCCCTAAGAAAACTCAAAAAATACTCACTGAGATCAGGCTAATACTTAGTAACAAAAATTGCTTGTGAAAATCAATACCTTTTAAATTAGACAATGTACAAGGCTTTGAAATGTTCTTATTTACAAGTCTGTGTGAGCTCACGGGAGAAGGTCTGTAATTAGCACACTGGGGAGGCCCATTCTGAAGATCCGACTTGGAGACATTTCAGAGGCCTCTGGTTCACTCACACCGCCCAGGCTCTTTCCTCCTGGTCATCCTTGGTCATGTTGGCCTTTAGTCCTGCGCCCCCTCCCCCAAGCCCTATTTCACAGATTTCTTAACCAGAGAGATTTCAGTTCAAACACTGAAAATTTAGTTTTTCCACAGGAATATATGTGACTCTATGACAGTTGCAAAAGGCTTTGGTCACAGGGTTTTTAAACTGGAACAATGTTTGTTTTCCTGAGAAAAGGAAGAAGTGAACTCTCCCTAAAGTATTTGTAGGTTTACTTCCCTTTTTATGCATGTTTATTGATTCAGCAAACTGTATATATAAATATTTTTTAAAATATATTTTTATTGATTTCAGAGAGGAAGGGAGAAATAGAAACATCAATGATGAGAGAGAATCATCGATCAGCTACCTCCTGCATGTCCCCACACTGGGAATTGAGTCGGAAACCGGGGCATGTGCCCTGAACAGGAATCAAGCCATGACCTCCTGGTTCATAGGTTGACCCTTAAACACTGAGCCATACCAGCTGCATGTATATTTTGCACTGGAGCACTGCAAACCCGAAGAGGGAAAATCCTTTAAGATTCCACAGTTTCTCTTTCTGCATTCTCCATATTGAACTGATACAAATGGAAGGAGAAGGGGATTGGCAGAACTTTCTACCGCCATCTCCAGCCCATTTGGCTATAAAAGAAGAATGGGAGAATCCTTTAACTGGGTGTCTTTTTGGTGGCTCAAATATCATTGGTTTCTGAGAGAGAATATTTTGAGTGTTCAGAAAATAATACATTTTTTAAAGTCAAAATTTAACAACTTCTAAACACCTAGAAGCAATCTCACTGTAACTTTCAGTCTTTGTAACATGTAAGATATCCTCAAAGGAATTGAAAATATGATTTTAAAGGGCCCTCAGTTGTTGATGACTTAATTCTACACATTCATGACATTTACAAGATTAATTTAAGGATTAAAGTAAAAATAGCTATGCCGAATATTTTATTAAACTGTAACTTTTTTAGCCCTGGCCGTTGTGGCTCAGTTGGTTGGGCGTTGTGTTCAATTGGGGGTTGCCGTGTTCAATTCCCCATCAGGGCACATGCCTGGGTTGTGTGTTCTCACCCCGTTGGGGGCCTGTAGGAGGCAGCCAATCAACGATTCTTTCTCATCATAGATGTTCTTATCTCTCTTTCCCTCTCCCTTCCTCTCTCTGAATTCAATTTTTTAAAAATCTTTTTAAAAATGTAACTTTCTATACTATTTAGGAACTGGTTAAGCCAAGAACTTCTCTTATCTCATTGAAGACAAATCCATTCTCACAAGAAAAAGATAATAAACTCCACCTAAAAAAATCCCTTGCAATCTCCAAGAAAAGTAACAATACAGAATAATGTTGACTGACAGAAATTCTTTCTCCCTAACGCAGCTCTATTAGCCTGAAAAGAAACAACCATCTTCTGCAAGTGAAATCCACACATTGACAACACGGAGGCCGCCCTGCTGAGGAGCCGGGAGCAGGCTCGGCAATCAGGTGGCCTCGCCATGCTGACCACAGCTTATAATGTGTAACTTGCATTGATTTTTCACAAGTCAAACAGCTTATCTGAGATTTCGGGGTTGACTTCGATTTTATGACCATGAATTCCATTTCCTTAAGGCTTTAGTTGGTTTACAGAGCTTAATTTTTAATACTGTTAACACCATCTAGCCAACCAAACATAAAAAACATCAATAAATATCAATAATTAGCTCTAGTCTCAGTTCCTCTTTCTGCTGGAGCATTTTGGCTTTGTAAATACATTCCAGTCTTCATGCCAATGCCCCGAGAGGGTTTAACATTCCATAGCCAGAGCGTGTGGTTCCGATGCGTCTCTCACATGTTTAGGGATGTCCCTGAAGTCTAAGAGAAAACTGCAAAATGAGCTTAAGAACAGATAGCTGGTGGGTTAGCAGGAAAGAGGTTACTAGTGAAAAACAACGATTTGCTGAGACTGGAAGCCAACTGGGGCAGTTAGTCAGAAATGACCGCGACCACCGTTGTGGATGAAGGTTGCTCTCACAGAGGGCTTTCCACCAACATTTTCTTGGCTTGTAGGTAGAAGATACGGTTTTCTTCAGGGTAGGTGACTTTACTGAGGGGCATCCTGTAGAAGTTGGGGTTTTTCGTGGTCAGCAAGAGGAACAGCAGTGTGGCCAAACAGAAGGGCCAGGTGGCAGATGGCAGTCCGGCCTGAGGAGAAGAGACAAGCACGAGTTCCTTTGAGATCCTGTCGGAAAGCTAATCCACACACAGCACCACCTCTCACTCCATCCTCCTTCTGCTGGGGATTTGCCATGGGGGTGGGGAGGGGATGTGTGTGTGCGTGCGGGGGGGCGGGTTGTGGAATTGCTCTGGACTCTGCTTATGCCCATGGAGATTGAGTCTGAGCTCAGGGCCTTTAGCAGTTGAAATGTCATCATCCATTCTTTCAGGGGGTCAGCTATATTTCCATCTTGTATATCTTTCCCTTGTTCTCAGACATTTAGACTTCTAATACCAGATGTGAGAAGACGATACTTGACACAGAGTTGACACCTGGCAAATCCCCAATGGCTCCCGACCATTCACCACATCCACGAGGCCCAGAGTGACCTCTTTACCCCTTGACTTCCACCCAGACTAGGTCTTAGACTCTACTTGCTATCCTTCTTTTTCACTCTGTCTCCCAAAGAGACTCTAAGCTTCTTGAGGGTAAGTCTCTCTCCTGGGCTATCCATGGCGACTCATGAGATTCTGAGCATACACCACATGCCCTATGCAAGGACCCCATGGGTGTGATGGTACCCAAACCTGGCTGCACATCAGAATAATCTGGGAAGGGGGTTAAAAACACAGATGTCCAAGCACCAGGTCAGATCCACTTTATCAGGAATTCCAAGGAACTGGGCCTAAGGGTCTGTGTTTTTGAAAATCTCCCTTCCTAGCTGACTCTGTTGTACAGCCCGTCCAATTCTGGTCTGTGGATTGATGTCTGTGGACATTTGTTGGGATGGGAAGGGCCCCACAATGCTCTAATACACTGACTGTCATGCCTGTAATGGCGCTTTGACATTCTACCAGAAAGATATTGTGTCTCCAGACAACCTCCCAGATAAACTCTTTATGCTGCTGTTCAGAGGACTAGTTACTCTCTTGACCTATTAGCAGCCATGATCACATCCACATGGACGGAGCTATCAGAAACTGCTCTGCATCACCTGCAAGGGGGGGTGAAGAGAGAAAGTCCAGGGCACTGGGAGGTGGGGGAAGGGGGTCCTGGAATAGTCATACTGGATTCCTCAGGGAAGGGGAAAAAGAACATCAAAGGGCCAGATAGTGCTGAAAAGAAAGGGGAGAGAGTAGCAGGGGACCCTTAATGGGCAATGATTTTGCCTATTCATTAATTAATCCAGGACATGGGTCTAAATAAATCCTATTGATGGCTAACTGGGGACTTAAAATAAGATAAGGGATACAAAAAATGATTGGCTTGATTAAAAAAAATTGAGTCTTTAGTTAATTATCTTTTCCTCCCTTTCCTGCTTTCTCAACTACTACATAGTCCTGGCTTTCTGTTTCAGTAAAATATATTCTAAAGTCAACTTCCTGATACTCACAGTTAGAGTCTAAACTTGGTACTATATTATACAACCTCAATTTCACTTCCTTAAACTAAGCAATCTGATATTCTTAACAAGCCTGGTGACTTTAATTTGGACCAAAATTTACCGTGATGCTGGAAGGTGAGGACAGACAGGTGCAAGGAAAGGGAAAGTGGTGGCTGTCCCAGTCATGGATCCTGCCCTGGGACACCACCCACGTGGGCTTCAGGAGGGTTTCCATACCACGGAAAGCTGACCAGTCATGCTGATGATAAAGCAAACTCACCACAGCCATCAGATGTGACATGCTGGTTCCCAGGTAGGCGGTGAACAGGGCTACAGAAAAAGAAGAGAGAACAATGCTTGGTAGGCTTCATTTCATTGTGGGAAAGGCTGCCTTGTGGTTTAAATCCCTTGGAATGTAAACATCCACATTTTGCCAGCTAGCCCAGAACCCTGGTTGCAAGTATGTGTTTGGAGTCAGCAGCTCTGGGTTTGAATCCAGACTCCACCACTTGTACAACAGAGGTTATAGGAACATTTCTCTCACAGGGCTAGTGCAAGCATGAAAGGAGGTAATGCTTGGGCTTAACGCACAGTAGTACTCAATAAAGGTATCTTTTCTGTGGTTACTATCTTGTTGCTGCTTTGCTGACACTTATGGAAAAATCCTTCCATAGCAAATAAACTTTCCTGTTATTTTATCCAGGCAGAGTAGAATTAAAATGAAACTTATGAATGTTTCTTGAGGTAGTATGGTTTCTATACTGCATCTGGGATTCTCAAATTAATTCAGTTACCAAAAAAATCATGGTATTAAAAAAAGGAGAAGGTAGTAACTCAGAGATCAGCAGAAACTGAGTACAAATGTGGAATTCCTCCCCAGAATAACATTTTTTCCAAATACCATTAAGGCTGGCATACAAGCCAATAAATAAATATGCTATTTTTAAATTTACTTTGAGTAAAGCATGAATCTTAGAGTAGGTAATCTGAGTGTATGTGTAACTTTCAATGTAAAACAGCAAAAACAAAGGTCTCAACTAGCAAATCATTAATTCTTCAGTTTTGGCTGAAGAGGGGGCTCAGGGAAGCAGCCTGAGGAATGATTTGCACACACCCTTGGGCCACCAGCACACACTGAGATATACTCACCACCTAGTCTTCCTGTCTGGTGAGAAATCACACCAGCTATCTTGGGGGGCGGGACAGGAAATGGTGGGAGGAACTCTGTGATCCTCATTTCCATCCTTTTATCAATATTTTGTCTTTTTATCCTGGTATTTTTGTTCAACAGTATACCTAATTCTTTCACATCTGAATTGTCTCACGCTAGTGGGAAAGGCTCGTCGTTGGAACCAGTTTGGACTTCAAATCCAAGCTCTGCCATTTTGTTTGTTGTACAACAAATCACCTAACATCTCAGAATCTAGTTTCATAGTCTGTAATAAGGTAACTTGGAGGTGTATTTTACTAGGAGGTGGTGAATCTCAAATGAAATAGTGTATTTCCACAATAGCAGCTGTAAACTCACCCCTGTCATTCACAGAATTGAGATATTGCTCTGAGCAGAAGGGTTGCAAGGATTTCTGTGCTTGGTTTCCATAATTTTATCCCCCCCCCATTTCATTCATTCATTCACTCATTCAACAAATATTCACTGTCCCTCAGTTAAGCACTAGGGACACTCTATCCTTGCTCTCTTGAGTACCAGCTCTTCTGACACATTTCCTGAGCACATGAGACATCACCATTTCTCTCCTTTTAATGCCTATTGCACTTCTAAGGCACAATCTTGGTGTTCAAGTCTCATATTGAACTTGGTGTTCCAAGTGATCTCCAATTCCAAGTTGCTTTTCTGTCCATAGAAAGTGTCAGACTATCTAATAGCAGCTGCCCATCAACTAAGACTTGCTGAGTTGGGCTGGGAAAGCCTTCATTAGAGGTAAGTTCTGCACATCATGGTTTGTAGCTGATGACCCTGATAGTGTTCTGGATAGTCGAGGGAGAGAAAAGGCCCTTGAGTGCTGAAGGGAAGACTAGATTTCCACTCTTCACAGACAATGTCCCTCCCAACAGACCACCATGTGTGAGTCCTACCATCATATCCTGGCCACACAAAAGAGGTACAAAATATATTTGCAGTTTGCATTGATGAAATAACAAAATTGAGGGATTCCCTGGTTTAGAGGCAGGGAAGGCAGCTTTGGCAGGCTCTATCAGAGTTTGCCAAGTCTTCTTTCCTGAAAAAGCCATATAGTAGGGCACCTCTGTCATAAGTAACTGTTATTTATTTACCCTGGCTGACAAGGTTGAGTTTTCTTTGACAGCATCAGGGTGATGTGGGCAAGCTGAAACTTGCCATGGCATTTTCCATGTGATATTTGCTTGACAAGAGGGGCTGGACGTCTGTCTCAAAACTTGATGTCTAAAATGAAAAACACTGAGAGTACCCAGTGTGATGAAACAGACACCTTTACACACTGTTGGTGGCAGAGGACATTGGTATGGCTTTTGTGGGATGAATTTGGCATCTATTAAAATTAAAATCGGCAGAGCTGGAATTTTGGCACCAGGGTGTGGGCTCTTCACTGATTCAATATACTGCCTTAACCATTATGCTAAACTAGTAAAGAAAATCTGATCCACTCAAAGGAAGGTAGGCATGGTAGGCAGAGTCAAGATCCCTAAAGATGTCTCCGTCCTAATCCCCAGAACCTGTGAGTATGTTACCTTACATGGCAAAGGGACTTTGCAGCCGTGACTAAGAAATCTTGATAGAGGGAGATTACCCGGGGTCATCCGAATGGACCCAATGTAATCACAGGGTCCTGATAAGAGGGAGGCAAAAAAGTTCTATCCAGAGAGTAGGATGAAGAATGATCACTGTCTGCTTCATACTCCACTGCATTGATAGAACTTCGTTTTGTTTTGTTCAATTAGCCAGTGTTACTTCCATAGTAAAGAAAATAATGAAGATATTCCTGCTTTGGGGAAATACATCCTCAAGCATCTTTGGTTTCACCTCTTTCCATAGTCTGTCAAGACCTCATCCACAACTCTTTTGACCAAAACAGTTTCTGCTTGACCTTTAAGGATGGGCTCAGGCTGTTCCCATGCTGGCCCTGACCACCCTCTCCACCAACAGGAATTTCTCCTCCCAGTGTTTAGGACTTATGGAAAAGCCAGCTTCTCTAGGAGGTGCATCTCAATGATTCTAAACTGTAGTGTTCCCCTAAGAATCTTGCACTGTGGATGTTTCCTTGTTCTACTGTAAATGTCGTATGGGCTCCTGTGGGCTCTCTCTCTTACTCATCTGGCTTCTGCCCTGAACTGTAACTCTCTGTGATCAAGAACTACCTGGGATCTAAAGCTTCTAAATCCCCAGGTCTTATAAGTACTGTCGGGACTGTATCATGAGTGTTTAATATGTATTTGCTGCCAACACAGAAAAATAAAGGTATGTACACCAAATAAAGGTTTGAAACCTCAAACTAATCTCAAGATTCTAACCCCACTAAGATCAGGTGGCCATATAATCTGTTAGAGCCTTCTCTTTTGCCCTAAGCTTCTGAACAAGTATGAGAGAATGAGCAAAAAGTTTTGAAAGGGTTATTAGGGGAAATAGTTGTGTGACTACAAAATGACATATAAGTGGCCACTTGAGTTTTGTTATCCTTGCTGCAGCGCCAGCAAATCAAAATTGAATGAGGCCTTGGAAAACCTTGGTCCCATCCCACCCCCTGCCCAATGCAGAAATTCATTCTAAATCCTGCCTAACACGAGATCTGCCATTTTAGTAATGACTTAGACACCTTGGATTGCTTAATCTGGTGACAAACTGACTCTAGACAAATATTCCCATTAGGTTTGAAGTAAGTTCTGCACATTCCACTATCCCTGCACCCCTTTGTCCCCCAGGGAGTGTCATTCCCTTCAGTCTATCACAGCCATTTTCAACTGCGGTGCTGTGGCACACTGGTGTGCTGCAAGAATGTTTAAAACATGCAACACCTGACTATTTAGTCAGGGACACTGACCTCTTTTCCCTTAGATTGTTAAATAAAAAATTGACAACAGCCAACACATCTGGTGTGAAGGAATCAAAGTCATACCTATTTTTTGTCAGATCAGCAAAAAATATATATTTTTTGGTGCGACACAGAATTTTAGTAATTACTTTGTGTGCCATGAGGTGAAAAAGGTTGAAAATCGCTGGTTCTAGCACATTATCTTAAGTGCTTTTACTTGTATTGAATTAGGAATATCAGAGGCTATGGGAAAACAAGCATCCTTCCCAATGGCCTGAGAAGTTCATTAGCTTTTCAATCTAAATCACTGAAGTCTGTTTTCACCTAAGGCCTGGGCTTAACGTTTCAGGTTTTTAGCCAATGTGGGTGCTGGGTTTGCATTTACACTGCCTTCCCCTCCCCCTATTGACTGGACGTCCTTTGGCCTTAGTTCCCCAACAATCAAATGAGAAGGATGGTGGAGTGGAGCTCTCCAGAGCCCTGTCTAGCTCTGTGGGCTGAGTCTGGCTAGAATGCAGGGATCAGAAAGGGTTAATACAGCAGTTCTCACAGTGTGGTCCCCAGAGCACCAGCATCAGTTCCCACTTACACTTGGTTAGAAATGCAAACTCCTTCCTCCACCTCTAACAATGAGCTAGGGTCTGCGGGTGGGCCCAGAGGTCTGCATTTTAACAAGCCTCCCAGGTAGTTCTGATCACACTCAAGCTTGAGAAGAGCTGGATGAAGGTGATCCTCCAAGGGCCGCACAAAATTCTACCTGAGTCACCAGGGGAAATAGCTCTGCATTTAGCTTGAGTTATTTCCGTTTCGTTTCTTGGGTCAAATGATTAGTGTGAAGAACACAGGACAAGTTGAGTTTCTATGCCCCAATATACACATATGACAAAATGCAGAGTACCTTTCAACAGGCTCTCCTGTCTGTCACCACCTAGCTGGGCAGAGCTGACTCGAATACTCCCAGAAAGGAGCTGTCACTCGCCCTGGTCACACACTTAGAGAGCACGGGTCCCAAACAAGAACCCCAGCTCTAGTGTCTCGTGCAGTCCTTTTGTACTGTTTGTCCTGGATTTTGATCCCATAGTCACCAGTACCCCTCCCCCTAGATGCACAGATTACTCACCACAGGCGAGAGCCAGGAGGTGGGTTTGCCAGGTGAGCGCCATGAACATCCCTCCAATTGCAATGCAGGCCAGAGAGCTGTTGAAACCCCAAAGTCCAAAGTAGATGTTCTCAAATGGAGCTGAAAGGCTGAGCGCTGTTAGATAAGACAGGAGCAGTCAGAGCAGCGGACGGACACAAGGCAGGGTGCTCTGGAAGGGGCCTCGGGTGGAGGCAGCAACTGGCAATTGTTGGTCCCTTGGGGCAGAGAAAGGTCTGGAGTACAGAAGGTGCCTGAACAACACCCGGGGCGGAGGAGGTACTCTCCACGCCTGCTCACCTGCTACTATCCCCATCGCCGACCCGATTGCAGCGTGCAGGCACATGAGTGGGGAGGAAAGCAGGATGGCGCACAGGAAAATGAGCCCTGTCCACAGATTGTCACAGCCGTATATCTGACCAACACCCACAGGCAGGGATTTCAGTAACTGCAAAAATAATTTAGGAAATAAGTCATTAAAATAACTGGACAGAAACCCATAGGACACCCACAAGCACATATGAAGTAATTTTAGATTTAACATATCTAATCTTTTGAGATAAGTGTCATTAATTTAAAAAATTCTCCCTCTCTCTTTACAGAAAAATCTCAGTCCTATTTCTGCTTTATTCCCAGAGATGCACCAGACCTTCCCTGGTGTACTCAAAGCCTTTTCAGCACCCGCCTCCACTCCCTGCTCTCCTGCCTGCACAGACGCGTGGCCTTGGTAACTGTGGTGCCACTGACCCACTGTGAGGATCTCCCATGCCTCCCCACGAGGGTGGCAGGGACCACCACTTATACGTCTACTGCTTTCAACTGTCCATCCATGCTGGGGCCAGTCCATCCATGCATCTCTACAGTCCATAGAAATATTATTGTTCCCATGCAATCTGGTGGTTAATGAAGTCAGGGGATCTTATCCACAATTCAGAAGCAGGTCTATACTATGAGTTTGATTCTGCCCTAAGCTGGACCCTAAATTCTTCCCACCCATGCTGGATTTTCATGTCTACACAAGATTACTTCCTGTTTCTTCTAGACCAGAGAACTTGACACAGGCACATCCAGCAGAACCAATCCTCAGATAGCCAGGGGTGGAGAGTCGGGTGAGGTGGGAAATAAGTGCTGATGCTGAGGTGGCAGTTCAGAGGGAGGGGAAGGACAAGATCCCCACTTCCCCCGACCAGCACTGTCTGACAGAGCTTCGCATGACCTTGGAATATTCTGTACCTTTGTTGTCCAACACATGTGTCTATCGAGCACCTGAAATGTGGCTAGTGAGGCAAAGGAGCACAACTGTAATCTTACATTTTAATTAATTTTACATTTAAGTTAAAATACCCACATGGGGCTAACAGCTACTGTATTGGACAGTACTATTATAGGTCGATCAATGAATACTATAATTTTTAATGGGGAGTTATAATATGTTTCTTTTTATTTTCCTTCTGAGTTATTTCTAAATGTTCCCATTCACTTTCTGAGCAAGAAACTAAAGAAAAGGCTACGTAAGCTTCTCACATGTTTTGATCACCCAGCTCAGAGGAAAGCAAAAGGTGTTTTATAACCTCACAGTGGGAAAGCCAGTTTTTTGCACATGAGAAAAAGTAGGGTTTCTTTGGTTTTCTTTTGATTTCAAGTGTTCTCTTGCTTTTAATAATCATGAAAAAAAAGATATTTATTAAATAAACACCATTAGGAAGAGCTGGAACTTTATTTGGGTTAACCAGGTGTTTAAAATGGTGTTCTCTCTATGCACATCTGTAAAGAGGTACATAGTATACAGCCTTCAGGGTGGTTCTCAAACTCTGCCCCATAGCACAAGTATTTAGGGGCTTGCTATACAGGTTCCCAGGCCCCACCCCCAGAGATTATTATTTAGGAAGTCTGAGATGGTGCTCATATTGGTACTTCAAAAACAATGATTCTGATGCTTACTGAAGCTTGAAGGCCCAGAATTATTGTACTTATTCTGTGAGATCGAACATAAGAAAAGGCAGAACAGAGAGGTACTGTGGTGGGTAAAACAATAAGCAGCCAGTCCTTTTGGCAGGTCATGGAGGGCTTAGCCCCAGGTGGAGGTCCCTGCATCAGTGGCTAGCCCCCATCTCACCCATCCAAACAAGGGCCAAGTTTGCAATAGAATGTGTGATTTCCAATGGAGCTATGTTCTGGAATTAGCACTGCAGATCTTAGGGAAAGTTAGCTTTGACTAAAATAGTCATTTAAAAAACCCCTTAAAGCCCAAAGCTTTGGAGAACAAATGCTTTAGCTAGCAAAATGAAGACAGGAAGTCCCCCCCCCCCCCCCCCCACCAACTGAGTCTCTATAAGGCTCTGATGCCCATGGACGAGTAACCAGGAGGACGCTGACTGTCTTCCAGAGCCAGGGGGAATGTGAAGAGATCGTGTATCTTACCTGCAGGCCACTGAGTTCAGACCAGGTGACATTGGGAACCGAGGTTATGGGTGAGAACAATCTGCCTGGGAAGAACAGATTGTAATGTCCTGTGGCCGAAAGGTACATGGTCAATGCCATGTTGAAGGGCAGGGTGAAGATAGGGAGGTCCCATTTGCCGAACACGGAGCTCAACCCACTTGAGAAAATTGGACTAAAAACAACAACAGAAGAGAATGGAAGAACATGTGTGTGGCAGCCAATGTTGACAAACCGAATCTCTCTGCTAGGGATGGCTTTTGAATATGCCCCTAAAGTGCTGCGTTGGAAAACCGTTCACAGAAAAAACAAACAAAAAATCCAAACACACTTGAGATAAATCCTGTCATAGAGAGAATAATTCTTACATAAAGTAAAAAAAAATCAACTCATAGTTTCTTTGGCTTTTGAAAAATTACATCTGGGTTGCTTACAGTGAGCTATAAACCTCTAGGTTTCAAAAACACTTTTCTAGTATTTAAGACATAGGAAATAAAATATTATTTACATAGGTAAAGCCACATGTGTGACCTACTTGATCAAATGCCCTTCCCTCCCCCTCAGAGGTGACCACGATCTTGAACTTGTCTATATCTCTACAAGTCTTTAGTGTATGTATTTTTTAAAAAGATAAACAATTATCCAAGGGAGGATGCAGGTGATGTGGGCTGGATGAAGAAGGTCTTAAACTCAGAGGGAGAGAGTTTTAGGTCAGTGATGGCGAATCTATGACACGCGTGTCAGAGGTGACACACGAACTCATTTTTTGGGTTGATTTTTCTTGGTTAAATGGCATTTAAATATATAAAATAAATATCAAAAATATACATCTTTGTTTTACTATGGTTGCAAATATCAAAAAATTTCTATATGTGACACGGCACCAGAGTTAAGTTAGGGTTTTTCAAAATGCTGACACGCCGAGCTCAAAAGGTTCGCCATCACTGTTTTAGGTCCTTGAGCAGGTGAACTGTGTGACCTTGGGCAAGGCACTGCTTGCTTCTCAGGGTCCTTGACTGTAAACTGGGGGTTGAATTAGTTGGTCTCTGGGACTCTTTTGCACACTCACTTCTTGACTTACTCAGAGGGCCATCCCTTTAAGATCAGAACTTCAGATTTCATGGGTTGTGGGAGGGGGTGTGGTGAGCACCCATAGGCAATGACTCTTGCCCTTGAACCTGTTCCCCAGAGTAGGCTGGGAGTTACCTCCTGGGCAGGTGGGCTTTGCTGCCAGGTTCTCCTCCACACACTGCAGGTGCAGCCCGGGTGGGTGGCTCTCCTGCAGACACTGTTCAAGACGGGCTTTACTTCTCATTTGTGTGGATATTAGTATTTTATATTCTAAATATGCTACAGTAAGAAGGAAATGTTTGCTTCCAAAAATAAAAAATAAAAAAGATTTGTGACACTGTCAGCATAGAAACTAATTTGAAGAATTCAGGCTTTTTTTTTCTTTTAAGAAACTGAATTCAGTGAGTAACTTTTTCCTCATTCCACGATGATGCTGACACCATCCTCAATAAAAATTTTTTTGAAGGGAGTGGGGCAGGTGGGTAAGGAGAGTTCATAGAGGCACAGTGGTTCTCAAAGTGGGATCCCTGGATTGGCCATATCAGCATTATCGGGGAACTTGTTAGAAATGCAAATTCTCTGCCTGCCCAGTTGAGCATTGATCCATGAACCAGGAGATTAAGGTTTGATTCCTGGTCAGGGCACATGCTGGGGTTTCGGGCTTGATCCCCAGTAAGGGGGGTGCAGGAGGCAGCTGATCGATGATCCTCTCTCAGCATTGATGTTTCTCTCCCTCTCTCTCTCTCTTTCTCTCTCTCTCTCTCTCAAATCAGTAAAACCATATTAAAAAAAAGAAAACGCAAATTCTCAGGCCCCATCCAAGTTGAACCAATTCAGAACCTCTGGGGATGGGAGCCGCAATCTATGTTTCAACAGGCCCTGCAGGGGATTCCGATCGTGTGCAGTTTGAGGACCACTGATGCAGCCAAAGGCTCTCAACTTTGGTTGTACTTTATATTTTTTTAAAAATATATTTTTATTGATTTCAGAGAAGAAGGGAGAGGGAGAGAGAGAGATAGAAACATCAATGATGAGAGAGAATCATTGATCGGCTGCCTCCTGCATACCCCCTACTGGGCATTGAGCCAGCAACCCAGCATGTGCCCTTGACCGGAATCAAACCCAGGACCCTTCAGTCCACAGGCCGACGCTCCATCCACTGAGCCAAACCGGCTAGGGCAACATTGATTGTACTTTAGAAACTTCTGGGGCTTTTAAAACTCCCAATTGCCCAGGCAACACCCCAATCAAGACTGATTACATCAGAATATTGGGGAAAGGGGAGAGGTGGTATGAAGGGCCATATGTACCAGTGTGTTTTAATGTTTCCTTTTCCCAATAGACACAATCCGAATCTAAATTTTTAAAAATGATTTCTCTAGAAGTTGCATTATATACATAACATGAAATTTATCACGTAACCATTTTAAAGTGTGCACTTATAGAGCACTAAGTACACTCACATTGTTGTACAACCAGCACCACCATCCAGTCTTAGAACATTTTTCATCTTGCAAAACAGAAGCCCTGTACCCATTAGCAGTAACTCCCCATTCCCACCCCCTCCCCTATAATTTGTTATAAAAGCATTTCAAAAACCAGTTATAACTTACCAAGTCATGGACATCACAGAGACAGGGAATAGCAGCCACCAGAAGTAGTCTCCCTTGTTTGAAAAGATGGCCATGAGTATCCCCACGAGGGTGGCGTTGTAGCCGTGCAGCCCGGCTGCGATTGCTGACCTGCGGGCGAGAGGCACAGCGTGGACATTTTCCAGGTGGACACTGGCTGGGCTTGCACTAGTGACACTTGTAAATTCCAGGCCATATTCACATTAGAAAATGAGATTATATTTAGAAATCTATTTCCAAGTCTATAGAAGCCAAATACGACTAAAAATGTGAAAAAATACAAATGTACACTTAGAACAGCCCCCTACAGAGGCATCAGAGCTAACGATGCGCCAAACCAGTTCTGTTTCCTTTAGCCTTTCCTTGGGGAAGTTATTATTTCTTTGAAATCATTAAGGGCCTCTGACTTGAATAAAGCTTTTAGGTGAAACTGTTTTTGAAATCTGATTTTCTTGGTCAGGTGTAAGATTCTTGAAATGAAAATTCACTTTCATAGTGTCTTTGATTTTACAATTTAACATACATTTTATCTTCCTGTGCTTCCATTTTTGTTGTCTCCAAACAAAGATTTCTAAGTTAGTACAAAGAAAGACAATTACTTTTCTTTTACTTGGCAAAGTATTCCATTTAATTTGGTGCATATTTAGCACCTAATTTTTTCTTGGGGCCCTTTTTGCTTCTGAGCATTTAACCTCACTTCTTTTTTGTTCTTCCATTCCAGACCCCGTATTCCATTCCCCCCCCTTACTATTATTACCTCTCACGGAAATTGCCATGTAGAGACCTGTGGTGATATTGTCCTATAGACGAAAAAGGGGCCACATACGAAACCTGACAAGCTTAGGGGAGGCCTGTCTGGGGGAGGGAGGGATGCCTACAAACTCAGAGACCTAAAGTAACCTCATAGGATGGTCTGAAATGAAAACTTTCTAACTAAAAGCAGTTGCAAGGCAGGTGGTCATGCCCTAGGGCGGTGTTCTTCTCTAACAAAGGTCAATCTTTACTTTAACTGAGCCTGTCTATTGTCTTTTTGCATCTGCAATAACATACCCCTGGAATGTCAGGGTAATTTTCTTTTTCCAGACCCCTCAGGGTACAAACACTGCACCAAAGCAGAGACCTCAAATCCCCTCATTGTTATTATCATGTTATCCTATACCCACCTAAGTAAAAGAAGTATGTATCTTTTAAAAAAAGTTGTATTCCTTTTACTTTTTACCCAACCCCAGAGATTTCCCTGCCTCTCTCTCTTTTCCCCCTCCCTAATCTATCACCAATGGATTTCATGTAACCCCCTTAGGTCTTCCCCTTTGATTCTAATGTATAAAATAAGTGGTAAAATTGCCATTTTCTGGAGCATTTTTCTCAATCCCTTGAGATTGTGTTTCCTGGCAATTGTGGCCAGTTTGGCTCAAATAAAAATTCTTACAGGTTTGGACATTTCTTACATTGACTGTTGGCCCTGCATGTCATGAGATTTAGCAGATTCTAAGGGAATATGTTCTTTTAAATTTGAATTTATTGGTGTTACATTGGTTAATAAAATTATATAGGTTTAAGGTGTACAGTTCTATAATACATCATCTGCATATTGTGCATTCACCACCCCAAGTCATGCCATTTCCATCACCATTTACCCCCCTTTACCTTGTCCTGACTCCTCTCACCCTCATTTTCCTCTGGTAATGACCATACTGTTGTCTATGAGGTGTTTTTTTCTTAATCCCTTCACCGTTTTTTACTTAGCCCCCCACCTTCTCCCCTTGGATAGTCTGTTTCTATTTTGTTACTTAGTTTGTTCTCTCCTTAGATTCCACATATAAGCAAAATTACATGGCACCTGTCCCCATCTGACTGACCCACCCCACCCAGCACAATGCTCTCCAGGTCCATTTGTGCATCTGCAAAAGGCCAGATTTCCTTCCCGTCCATAGTAAAGCAGCGTTCCATGGTGTAAATGCACCACAGCTTTTTTATCCACTCATCTACTGATGGGCACTTGGTAACCTCACTTCCTCTCCTGGTCAAAATGGTTCCCATGTTATAACTGGGAACTCGATGCCATTGGCAACACCTGGCACCATGAAGGGCCCGGCATTCAAGGCTGAATGAGCCACAGGTGTGAAGATCATGGAGCGAGTGGGTGAGATCAAATGCGGGGCCCCAGAGGGAGTTGACACAGCCAGTGAGCCACACTCCCGGGTGGCAGAGGATCGCGTGAGAGCTCCTTGGCTTGTTGGTAACTGGAGCAGGAGGCACCCATGATCAGCAAGATGATGTCATGCTGAGTGAGAGCATTAGAAGAAGGACTCCCTGTTCAAACGTCCTTTGTCTACCTTTAATAATCCCCCAGGCCGTGTGGGAGGTGATGCACTTTGTATTGATTTAACCCAGGAAGTGATAACGCCCTTCACAATTGGGACTAAACATGATGACACTGGAGAACTAATGCAAAGACGTATTCCCTCAAGAACTGACTTTCAGAATTAATGCTTTAGTTTGGTCAACAAATTTAATGGCAATGCCTACAAGTTGTGGAACACCCTAGTTAAAGCAGCAAGAATATGTATATTCACTTAAAACAGAGGGTTGCTGTTTTAATGCTGTCCTTTGAGGACCGGGATGAAGAAAAGAGATTTGTAAACTAGCACGTGCGAATGAATATGCCTGGTCTTCTAAAATACACCTGATAAGGAAAATGGGTCAGTTAGCAAAGCAATAAAGGAACCTTTGCTATGGCACAGTCCGAGACCACACCTCCAAAGTGGAAAGACTATTTCTTGACATGCACTGGGAAAGGGTTTAACCTAAGATACTAAATCACCTTCTACAGATAACAAATCAGGCTCCTCGGAGCTGATGCAAAAGTGGAGCATTTGCTGACTCTCTCCCCAAGAATCTTCTTAGGCAATGCACAGTAAGAGCTATAAGAGCTTAGTTGTGTAATGACAACCCACAGGGGATTATGCATTGACCTTGAACACTGGGAAGACCTGCAGCCTCCCTGGAGAAACGGGTTAGTCAGGAGTGTTCTACACCCCTGATGGGTGTCAGCTCATCCCTTCTTCTTCTTCCTTCTCCTTCTCCTTCTTCTTCTCCTTCATCTTCAACATTTTAATCACATTTAATTCAGTAGTTCTATTGTAAAATGATACTAAGACTATCAGAAAAGTGAGACCACATATCAATGTATTTTCAAATAGGATGATTTCCTTATGTTTATTACTTTTAAAAATACCATAAAACATTTTAACCACTTGACAGAACACTTTGTAAAGTGGATGCTATTTCTAACCTAGCACATAGTTCAGAAGATATCCTAACACTACAGTTAGAAACTTGCTGACTTGAAATCTGTGGTTATTCATCTCTCTAGAATCTGAGCAGAATGAATTTACTGAACGAATCATGGACTAAAGATATAAAGGGGGTTATTAAGCCAATAAGCTTTTCATGCATTTTTGCCCAAACAAAAAACATGTTGATGATAAATATTGATCGATTATTAAAGAAGATCCCTTTAGAATCTCTCCTGGGATTTACTTGTAGCTTAGTTCTGGTTACCATGTACTGCTATGAGAATTTGGCATTGTTCAGACTGGCTACTTATTCAGGTGCCATGAATAAGAGCAAATATAAAGAGTTCTGTGGAATAAAGGTTGTTTCTCCTGGGAGGAGTGGGGCTTTATTAGGGCTACTCCTGTGTCCTCGGACGTGAGAAGAGTGGCTTGGATGGGTGCACCTACCTGTCCTGACTGAGCATCAGGGCTGTCAGGGTGGAGACCACGGTTCCTATAAAGCCATTGAGAGCCCACCAGGGGTTCTGGACCAGGAGTCCCACCAGAATCAGGATTCCACTGATGGGGTTGTTGACAAGCGCCACCTGGGATAGGCCCCGCAGAATCCAGTCGAAGAACTGGAGCACTTGGGGTTTGTCTGCAAAAGATGACAAGGGCAGAGCTAAGAAAGCAGTGAGGAGCCCCAAGTTTAGGGCCCTCTTGAGCAAAATCATCCAAAGCCCCTCTGATGAAGGTGAAACTTATTTTTTTTATATTCTTTGAACAATTTTCTCTTTAGTGGCACCCAGATCCTTAAGCATCCAATTTCTTTATGCTCAACCCACGCTGCCCCTAGTAGAATTGCAGCTCCAGAAAGTGTCAAATGCACTTATTCATCATGCATAGAGGTACAGACTTTTAAGCCAAAGGACTGAATTACCAATAGTAAAATATTCGATTTTAGGTACTGAAACAATAAAATGGAGCCAGTTGTCTTCCTCTGATAGGAGCAAGATCCTGCCCTGACCACTATCTCCATTAAAAAAAAAAAGTTTGAAGAGGCTTGCAGGTTAAAAGATAAAAAGTTTAAAAATGGGGAGGAAAGAGCTAGAAAGTAGGTGAATACAGTCAAACCTTGGTTCTCGAACTTAATTCATTCTGGAAGGCTATTCATGAAGTGATTTGTTTGAAAATGGAATCATTTTTTCCCCATTAGAAATAATGTAAATTGAATTAATCCATTCCAGACCCCCAAATGATTTACTGTTTTAACCTTTCTTATATACAGTACATGTCTAATGTACTGTTTAATCTATAAACAAACACTTCTTAAATGTATCGAACCATCCCCTTCTAGCCTGAAAGGAATCACTTTCAGCACTCGGTCCAGCTCCCGGTGGTGTCTTTCAGGGGTGCAGGTCTTTGCTTGTTCACATATCACTGCCTCTGAAATGCTGTCACTGGCTAAGTGCTTGTCATTTATCCAAATCAACAACAGTTTTTCTGCCTCTTCAACTGCCTGTGATCATTGTTTCTTTCACACCTTTAGCAGCAT